AAAAGCCTTGATGACCTGCCTACTTGGCCATTGTTGCAGCAGTGTGGATTTGCAGATCTTGCCCTTGTTGCTGCCCAACGTCAAGGGGTCGAGCCGTCCCCTACATGTCGGGATAGCACTAGGTATATGTATTTGATTGGCACCTCATGTTTGCGTGATGCCTTGGAGGACTGCGATGTTTGTCAAGACTATCTCTTTGACAGCCACCCAGTTCTTCTTGCTACCCTGCGTAAACAGGCAGTCACCTTGCCTAGGATGCGCATTTGGTGTCCGAAATCATTTGATGATTGCATTATTGACGCATCTCTTGCTCAGGATGAAGCGAACAGCAGACAAGCATTGTTGGAGCAGGAAGTAGCCCAGGCACTCAGTGAGCATGACCTTGATAGTGCGGCTACCATTTGGACTAAGCATGCAGAACAAGTCCTTTACCATGCCACATGCGATGTAGAGGGTAGGTCTGTGCGCCATGGCAAGGGCTATCTTGGACGTGCGACTGACAAACTTGTTGCATACACTCCAGCATCAATCCCAATTTGCAAAAAAGGACGCGACGGTGACTTTGAGCCAGAAGGGAATCATCATTCAGTTGGCCTTAGGAGGCGTCTTCGCCAAGTGCGACGCCTTCAGTCACTTGAAAGACAGTTGCTGTCATGTGAAGCGGGCAGTGAAACGGAAGTGGCCTGGCATAAATGCCAGGAGCTTTGGGGTGCCATCTTAGCTGCCAAGGGCTTTGCGGGAGGTTTTGTCCGATGGTTGTACGCCTGTGGCTTCAGTTTAGTTCCCAGCGTGTGCCCTGATGCCGGTAGTGTCCACCTCCTGTATGAGCTGCTTGTGCGTGAATACCGGAGTGAGGAACGGCAGTTCATGTCCAAAATACGAAAGCAGCGCCAACAGGACATTCGAGATGATTTCCGCCGGGGGGGAAAAATTGCATTTCGCATGATCAAAGATGGGGGCAGCCCGATGCCCTCGATCTTTCATGTACCCATCACCCTGGCAATGAAACCGCAACGTGTCAGGCTAGGTGGAAGCAGACAAATTCGCGTGAAAGACATCTCTCAGTTGAGAATGGATTTGAGCATTCATTACAATGGTGCGCAATACCGGGTAGATGAAGTGCTTGATGATGCAGTTGTCCTTGATCGTCCATTGCAGCAGGTCAGTGGTCTCATTGAGCTCACCCAGTGGTTGCCAGTTGCTGAAGATGATGAAAAAGCGATCTTGACTTTCAAAACATGGAATCAGTGTTGGCAGCGTGATGATCCCAATGATGATGACCAGATCATACAGGATGCAGGACACATCTTGCGTGACTTGCCCACTTGGACCCCTTATGAGGGCGTCCCCATGTGCCTTGATGATTTTCGTGAGTCTCTGCGGGGAGTTAATGCTAAAAGCATGAGAGGTGCTGACAAGTGGTCCCTCAGGGAGATCCGCCAGCTGCCAGATTCCATTCTTCAAATCTTGATGAAAATTTTTCATGAAATTGAGGCAGTAGGTGACTGGCCGCTACAGTGGGTCAGGGCGTGGGTCCTGCTGATACCCAAAGAAGAGGAGATTGTAGGACCACAATCGCTGCGTCCGCTCACAGTTCTGTCCCGTTTGTATCGGTGTTGGGCGCGTACACACGCTCACCAGGTCATCAAATGGGCTACGTGTAACATTGCTCCAATGTTGGGTGGTGGTGTCAAAAATGCCGATCCTGTCATGCTCATGCTGGCTGTTCAATTTCAGATTGAGTGTGCCAGCAAGGCACATCCGTGTGCAGGACTGGTCATTGACATTGCCAAAGCTTTCAATAATATCCATCGTGGAATAATGCTGCGAATCATGGCGAAACTTGGATTACCTGAATGGATTTGCAAGCCTTACCAGGGAATGATGCGGTCCTTTCAACGGCATCTTGTTTTTGACAGGCACGTGACGGCAGGTAGCACCAGCACTACTGGAATCCCTGAAGGTTGTCCCTTTGCTGTTTTGGGTATGCTCTTCTACACGGTTTCCTTCTGGGCTCACTTCCAGGTTACCTTGCCGCGGATCTGCACTTATGCTTTTGCAGATAACTGGGCTGCGGTTGTGCGTACAGCCAATGATCTTTGGACCTTTGCTAGCACCTTGCAGCGTTTTTGTAAGCATATGAAGTTACCAATCTCACCCAAAAAATGTTGGATGTGGGCCACTGAACCTGGCATGCGCCGAGCCATACGGGACATCACACTTGATAATGCATCCCTGTGCATTAAAAGCAGTGAGCGTGAACTTGGCTTTGACATGCAGTATCACGGTCGGGCTAAGCGTGGTACTTTTCAAAAACGCCTTGCCAAGGTCTATGGAAAACTGCGTCGAATACCAGCGGTGCCGGTTGGTAAAAAACAGAAAGCAAGATTGGTGGCTGGCTCTGCACTACCCTCCTGCCTCTATGGGACGGAAACAATTTTGGCCTCACGACAGGAATTGTCACTCCTTAGGACCCGTGTCTGCAAAAGCATTGGGTGTGGTAGAGCTGCGGAGAACCCTTACCTTGCCCTGGCTGTTGGACATCAGGTGCCCTTAGACCCTGAATTTTGCATGGTGGAAAGGAAAATCGTAGCCCTGCGACGTGCAGAGACCATTGGGATCCTCTCGGTTCCACACTTTCTCCAGATGGCGTCGGAGCCGGGATTACGCAATGGACCAGCAAAAGCCTTGCATGACAGCTTGGAAAGATGGGACCTCCGGCTGCAAAGTGACGGGGTTATTGTTTTGCATAATGGGATTTCCCTTGATATCATGAAGCAGGACCTTTCAGTTGTCAGGGATCTGTTGAAGCTTGAGTGGGGAAGGGTTGTCACTGGACGCATTGCCCGCACTCGCAAGCATGTTGATGTGTCCTACATTGATCTGCAGCATCAAGTGCGCTTAGGAAAATTTTTAACGCCGGCTGAAGTGGGTGCCATCCGGGTCCATATCAACGGTGTTGCATATACACATGATCGCACTGCATGCTTCTTGGCTGAGAGCGACCCTTCTTGTCCATTTTGCGGATTTCACACGGATAGCATTACCCATCGCTTGGAGTGTACGGAATTGCACGACATTAGGCGTGACCTTGTTCTGAATGTCAGCACCCTCAAGCGGCTTCCTGAATTCTTGACTTGGCATGCAGTTGGGCCCGTCAAACAGGTTGTTTGGGATTTCTGGTTGCGGCTCCAGAATTTGCAGGATGAGCCATTGCCTCCTCCTTTTCGTGAGCCATGCAGTGTGTACATTGATGGATCGTGCACTGACATGAAGGATAGATTAGTGCGTTTGAGCGGTGCTGCAGTGGTACGACGGAATGCCCAGTACCAGGCTACGGTGATTTGCCAGCGCACTGTGCCTGGAATTGCACAAAGCTCAGGCCGAGCGGAGGTCTTTGCAGGTCTCCTTGCAGTGCAGACTCACACATGTGCCACAATCTATTCGGATTATCAGCTTTTTGTTGCGCGAGCAAATTGCCTCTTGCAAGGAGGATGTGTTGGGCCTTTTTGGACTAATCGTGATCTTTGGTGCAAATTCAAATCTTGCATTAGTCAGCCGCATGTGCAAATTGCTGTCTGCAAAACAAAGGCGCATGGTGATTGGAAGAATCTCCCTGAGCCAATGCGTGAACGTGGATGGTTCAATGACCTTGCGGATTGCGCAGCAAAAAAGGCAGTTGAGAACGCATGTGCCCCTCTTCGAGCTGCATATGTGAGGGCGCGCGATGCCCAGACTTTTGTGCGATCACAGGTGTGCTCTTATCAGAAGTTTCTTGCTGCGGTTGCTGAACGAAAGTTTGAGCTTGCCAAAAAGAAAGAACCCAGGGATGGGCCTAATTACGACCTGAAAGTGCTACATGTTGCAGGTGAAGGACTGCCACTGCCAGTCAACTGGCCAGCGCTTCACAGGGCTTGCCTGAATACACATTGGCCAAAGGATTTTCTTGACATGATTGCCAGTTACTTTGCACAATTGCGTTGGTTTCCCACACAGCCGGCGTCCATTCATCAAGTGAGCTGGGTTGAACTCTACCTTGACTGGCTCATGTGGACGGGATGCGTTGCCCCTGCTCGCATGCCTTGGTCTCGGTCCTCCAAGCCAGACTACAGATGGCGTCATAGTGACGGTATTGCGCAAGTTCAGCAGTCACAGCTTGGCGTTGATGTGTATGCGTGGAAAGTTGCTTTCAAGTTTCTTGTGAGGAAAGGGGCTCTCCCTTTGCCTTTCAACATGGTGACACGTGCATGGAGTGTTCGCAGAATTGGCTTACTTATGAAGCATGGAGGCCTTGATCATCGGCCCTTTTTGCTTTGTGGTAATGCTGCTGCCGAATGGTTGCAACGACGTCTTAAGGGTGACAGATATACTCAGAAGACGCTTAAATTCAGTTTGCTTACTCCGCCGAATTGGTGAAGTTTTTCTCTACTTGTGCTGGAAGCACCGCTATGCGTGGCTGCCAGTCACCAAGCTTGATGCAAGGAGGAAAAAAAAAGGTTGGTGAAGCATTATGATTTGCTATAGCTATTGGTTCAGGTTGCGTGGTTTTATTTATTGTTGCACGCAGCCAGCAGGCGCAACCCTCAAATACCAGCAGAGAAGAGAGATAGAGTGAACAGAATCTTCGGCCAGCTTGGTATGCTGTGTCTGGATCCAGACAACTATTGCCAGGGTCCAAGCTATCATGATCCACACCAAGATCCAGGAGAATCCAAAGTCGATATAAATCGCAGGAAAGGTCCGGTGAGAGCCCGTTTCGGGTTCCCCCAAAAGCCTTTGAGAATATCATTCCCAATCTGATTGCGACCGTGAAGTGAGAACTGGCCTTTGGAACTTTTTGGATCTCACGCATCCAACAGCGCTCTTAGGGACTCCAAGAATTCCCCTTGGACCACCCCCCTCACTGCTTGATTATTTTCCTTGGACCACCCCCCCCCCTCATTTTCCTGGGACCACCCCCCACCGAATGGGACTCGCTGAGAAGCTACTCACTGACCAAGGAGCTACTTGATCAACGGCTGGAACGCCTCCTCACTGGCCAACCGGACCTCGATTTCAGTGGCCTACGACCCCGCGGGCGAGGGGGATGGTCCCTTGGAGAGAAGAACCCAGCGAGTCCGTTTTTCTGACCCAGTGGATCCCAGCTACCACACTAGGCTTGGTAACCAGCGATGTGTCCTTTTGTTTTAAAAGAGGTGGTTCTCTTGCTTGCCTAATTAATTATAGAAATAAATGACATTTCTGGCTTAGGTATCCATCGGGTTGCCCCACCCTGTAAAAAGCAAAATGGAGCTTTGGCCACGCTTCAGGTCAAAAGATCAGGCTGAAGCAGCAGCAGATTTTTGCGTTCCCCGCTCCCTTGAAGCATGCCGGCTGACAGGCGAACGACTGCAGCCACGTCCATTTGCGCATTGTTTCTTCAAAACGCTGTCCATGAACTTGCCCCCCATCAAGAACTACAAGGGGCGAACATACATACTGTCCCTTTACCTGTAATCATGACCAACGCCTTTATTGTGACCCACCCCGAACATCATTCTGCTTATCATGGCCCTTATCTCTTATTCCACTTATTCTACTCGTTCTACTCATTCGTCTCCTTCTGGCCCTTATCTCTTAAACTTTTAGCGGGGGATCCGAAAACGGACAGCCCAGTTACCTCCTTCTACTCCTTCCGCCCCACTAAACCGCCAGCGGCGCTTGCCACGCGCTGAAAACCACGCGCCATGCCCCATGCCCCCCCGGCGCCCTCCGAATCCCGAATCCCGAGGCGAGCACGTGGTGGGCCCGGTAGCGGACCGCAGCAACCGGCGGATCTATTGGATCACCCCCGGGTGCGCGAGCTCCAGCCGGCGCCTGGCCGCCACCGTCTGGAAGGCGCGGCGAGGCTGGGGCGAGGCTGGGAGGCTGAGTCGAGCAGAAACCCTTCCCCCTAGTACTCCCCCCCCCCTGATTAAGAATAAGCTCAGGTGATATCCCCAACAGTTCGTGCTCGCACCACCCCGCAGCCCTCGCAGAACCTCGTGGAACCCTTGTGAGACTGAAACCCTCGTTAAAACCTTACCTCAGGCCCGCCCCGGACCACCCCGGAGCCTATCTGGGCTGAGACCCCAAAGCTTTCAGCTGTTGGGGAAACATGAAACCCCTGCCAGCAAAGCAACTATTTATTATTGGGGAGACCTTTATGAAATACGGGGAAGAGAATCAAAAAAAATGGGCTGCAACCCGCAATTCTGGTTGGTGAATAGGGTGAGTTCCATACTTTTGATGGGGTGTGTGGGTCCGGCAAGTCGGCTTTTGGCTTGCGCCCACTTTCTCCGGATGAGTCGGAGAATGCGCCAGTCTTGGTTGGTCCAAGGTGTTAGAAGATCATCCGTCAAAGGATGTCGGCCGTTTACCTGACACATGCAGAGGTCAAGAGAAATGTGACAGCAATTTGCCTCGACTGTCCCTTAAATATAAGTTATAGCCCCAAACTTATGGAGGCAGCCATTTCTCTCCCCCCAACAATCATGAAGCTGGCGATCGGAGGGTTTTAGACGGACACTTTCCTTTGGGGAGCCCCAAAAGAGATCGTCCACTTCCTGGGTGGCAGGGTTCATCATCTTTCTCTGATTTGAGTGTGTCTTTCTTTGGTGGGCTCTTTTTTTTTGGTTGAATTAAGGGGAAGCCAACAGGATGTTGAGGCCTGGTTGAGGTTCAGACTCGCTGCCGTGGCCAAGTCTTTCAGGTGTGAGTTTATAGGGTGCAATTTTCGGGCTGATTTGAAGGAAAGCCCCAAGGGAACAACTCCAAGTCAGTTTTTTGTTGCAGCAAAATCCGGGTGCTCCCGATTTTGACATACATATCTCATATATCCAGCCATCTCCAGCCATATCGTATATCCAGGCAACCAGGATCTGCCAGCTTTGGACATCTTCACAGCCAGGGCCGGCAAGGGTCAGCCGTCAACCTATCAGCTATCCATAGGTGAGTCATAGTCAAAACCCGGTAGTAAAATGGTCGACCCAGAACCATGTGAAGAATTAGGAAGGCTGATATCCGCAGCTATTTATGACTAACCTGGGCTGCCCTCAGATCCCATGTTAAAAGTTCAAATTTTAGTGGGTTACATGGAAATCCAGCCACTAAACCAACTAAAAAGCTCAAAGGCTAAGTTGAACCGGATGGCTGGGAGCCACCAAGAAACCTTCATCTACCTTCATCTACTGGGATGAGATTAACCTTCATCTACCCCTCCTTTCCCCTCCCTTCCCCTCCCTTCCCCTCCCTTCCCCTCCCTTCCCCTCCTTTCCCCTCCCTTCCCCTCCTTTCCCCTCCCTTCCCCCCCCCTTCCCCTTCTACCCGGGTTTTGAGCACGCGGCCCAGGTGAAGTACCTCCTGGACAACCAGATCGTCCCGGACGGCACCGAGGCGAACCCCTTGACCTGCGCCAACGAGTCCTACGTCTACGCAGTGAACCGCTACGACGCCGAGCCTCGGCCACGGCTGAAGCGGAAGCATCGAAGCATCGCACCTCTTGAGCCTCTGGTGTCCCCAACCACGACCTTGGGTTGAATGGGAGAAATTCGGACAAAGCCGCTAAGGCTACCACCTTGAGGGGTTGAATGGGAACAGACAAAGCCGCTAAGGCTATGATTGGTATAAAGGCTATGATTGCTACGATGGGATATGCAGCCACACAAAAAAACAACAGCTTTATGAAGGGTATGATGGGTATTTTTTGTAGCCTCATATCTCTCCTTTGCCGTGTTGGGTCCATGATTAGTAGAATTGTAGCCCAATTTCTCTCCTTGCGGTTTTTGGTTTGGGGTGGTGGGCGCCGGTCTTAGATGGAGCGGATGTCCCCCAAACCCTGGTCTGCCTGGAGCCTCAAACGACCCTACGGGAGTCACCCACCCTAATTTTCGTGTGAGGGTCCAGGGGATCCGGTCCACACCTGGACAACAGGACCATGCTCAGAACAGGTTCAACCTCTTTGTGCTGTTGGATTGCTTGAACAAATGTGAAGCCCTTGTGTGTAAACGGGAAACCATGGAACATCTCCATACCAAGAGGGGAGTGAAATCCGCAGCATTCTTTCGGTGAGAGAAGGTCTCACTTGCCCAAAGCGAATCGACCTCTTGACCCGTGGGGACCGCTTTTTGGTCCATGTTTCGCGAGCCCGAAAGGTCAACCTGGAGTCTCCATGACCCTTTAAAATGGGTCAATGACCCCATTATTTTGGGTAATGACCCCTTTTTTCAAGGGTCATGGAGACTCCAGGAACCTGTGTTTGTGGATCCAGCAGCTTGGCAGCTGACTTTACAGCCCTACAGGGGCCATACTTTTGGGGGCTGTAGCAGCGCCAGAAGGGGCTCTCTCTGCTTGAGGAGAAGGGTTGCTGGCCAGAATCCTAAAAGATGATCAAACCACATTCCGTTGCCAGACCAAAAGCTCCTTGGAGGTTCGATTTGCCAAGTTGGCAAGTGGTCAGCCATTTGGGGTATAACCCCTTTAGAATTAGGTCACCCCACTGAATAGCGCTTTTTAGTGGGCTATAGGTTAGCAACAACTTACTCACTTGGCGAATCGAACCCCCAGTTACCTTGTCAACTTTGTGCCTTTTTGGATTTCCATCGTTTTACCTTTCAACCAGCAACAAGCGTGCATATTTTTTTGCGGGCCAGATCAGTCTGGTCAAGGGGTCCTTTTGGTGTTAGGACTCCCTTCGAACCACCAGTCACGAAATCGCTGTGGTTTCCGAAATGCTTGTATCTGCGTTGAGGACGTGATATTTTGCTCTGTTGGTTTTCAAGGGAATGTATAACTACTGGAAATGTGTCTCGTTTTCCCAGAGGGCTTACAGCCCTAAATCGCAAGGCTTTCCTTTTGACCAACCTTCTACGGTCGAAGGTCGGAATGCGGGGAACCCTATCGCAGTCAAAGTGACTTCCCCGAAACATTCGCAAACCCTCAACTGGGTCCATTTATCTCCGGGTCTGTTCACCGAGACCCTCCGTCTTTCTCGCGGGGTCCGGCGTTTCGGGTTGGCCGCGTTCGAGGACACCGAGAAGTTCTCGTTGATCTACGTGGCGGACCGCGCCAACTTCCCGGCCCCGTCCAAGTGGACGGCCTACAGCTGGAAGACCCTCGGTCAGCTGATAATCGCCAATCTGTGGGGAGTGGGGCATTTGGGAGGGTCGTTTCGGGAGGTACCCCCCCTTTTGTGGTAAAGGGAAACCAAAAGAAAACCGTTGAGCCCTTGTGGGGGTCATTCCAAAAGAGTGACACGCCTGTTTAGGCGGGGATTCAGAAGTCCAACGTTGCAAATCCAAGACAACATTGTGCCAGACAAAAGGCGCGCCCTTCGAACTTGTCTTGGTGCTCAGGGAATGAGAAATGGAATGACCCCCAAAAAACCATCCAACTGATGGTTTCCTGTAAGGGGGCCGAAGCCTGGGTTCATTCCACCACATTCCCCACCGATTTCGCACCAGCAAGTTGTTGCCCCATGGTCACCCATGGAAACCAAAGGGTAAGGGTCGGCTGTGTGCTTTCAGCTCGGTCTGAGAAGTGGATGGATCCCCGGTCTCGGTTTCAGTTTTGATGTACCAATGAAAGTCAGGGCTCGAGTTCCGTTTTGGACGTTTAGTGACTTTGTGGTCGACCATATTGAATCCAATTTAGGGAAGTGAGATGACTCGAGTCATCCTGTTTTATCCTACATGTCAGTGACTTTTGCGAGCACCGCTTTCTACTCTGTACGAACAAGTTTTGAACTCCATGCGGCTTTGTTTCGACGTGTTGGTTCCAAATCGGGGGTGTTGCTTGGATTTGCACCTCGACAGGTGGTTGGCTTCCTTTTGGTTTCACTTTGAAGCCGAACAAGAAGGGTCACCTCAGAAAGCAACGGACCCATTTTGGGGTCCAAATCTTCAAGACCCGAGATGAATCTGGGTAACGTCAATCCGGTTCTTGGGGTGTTTTCTGGGATTCCACATGTTCAAACGGACCTGGGGACCTCGGTGTTGCCCCCAAATGGATTTTGGTGATCTTTCTGGTTTCCCTCTCGCAGACACCATGGCGTCACTTGCTTACTCCCTGAGGTCCTGAACCGAGGGCATTTTTTGGGGGGGAAGACCATTTAAAGAAAGTAGCACCTTTGCTTTTAGGAAGACCACAAATCTGTTGGGGGGCAACCCAAGAGCTTGGACTTCTTTCTTTTCTTTGTTTTTCGCCATTCCACTGAAGCTTCAGCTTCGCTTGGGTCACTTCAGCTTCGCTCCAGGCTAAAGAACATGGACTCGGAAGGGGTTCCAGCTTCCACCAGTGGACGTTCTTACCTGGAGCCTCCTTCTGACCCTGAACAAATGGTTGGTCATTACCCAAAATTCAGGGGTCATGGACCAATCTTTTCAAGGGGCATGGAGACTCTAGGTATGTGTTCATCTGAAAGGAACAGCTTTGAGTCACGGTCACCCAACTGTATCCCATCCAGCTTAGGACTTTCTTCGGTTTCCAAGTGGAAGCAACACGAAACCTGTTAGAACCAGGAACCCCGGAGGTTCAATCCATTAAAGCAATCATTGGGGTTCACATATCCACCATTGACCTCAGGATTTCTCGTCCAAAATCGCGTTCTTGCTGTTCTTTCAATGGGGGTTGAACCTTGGGACTAGAACAAGATAAGAACCTTTAGGAACTGGAAAATATGGAACTCGGAGTTATGGTTGAGGCACAATTTCATTCTGGGTAGTTCTTTCGGGTCCAGGTTTACGGTTTCCAAGCACCAAGAAGAATAGCATCGTCAACAACAACAAAAACAACTACCACCACAACAGCAACAGCAACCACAACAGCAACAGCCACCTTTTGGAACCGGAAAACGCAAAAACAAAGAAACGAATTGTTCGCTTCGGCCCAAGGATCGGCTTCGACTCTACGCGCCAGCGGCTTTACTGGTGGCGCCCTGGCTTCACAAAGGTTCTTTCGCTTGGGGCTTGGGCCTCAAGCTTGCCCAGTGCCGTGTGTTGTTTGTCTTTGTTCTTGGCTTTTGGGTTCAACCAAAAAAGGTTTGTGGGCTCTTGGGTGTTGTTTTTTGTCTTTGTCTTTGTTTCTGGGTTTTGGTTTCCCTTTTCAACTCAAGCAACCAAAAGACTCACTCCAATTGGGGGGGGGGGGTTGGGGTCTTGAGCAATGTGGCGGAACCAGCCAAAAAAAGATGTTATTTTTTGAAACATGACCACTGGGCATTCGAGAATAGGAATGGGATCCCCAGAGCATGGGCCTAAAAAATTAGCTCAGGTGACATCCCCAACAGCACGCGGTGCTCTTTTTAGTGCTCGCACCACCCTGCAGCCCTCGCACAACCTCGTGGAACCCTGGTGGAACCCTGGTGGAACCCTGGTGGAACCCTGGTGGAACCCTCGTGGAACCCTCGTGGAACCTTGGAGCCTATCTGGGCTGAGACCCCAAAGCTTTCAGCTGTTGGGGAACAACAACAACAACAACAACAACAACAACAACAACAACAACAACAACAACAACAACAACAACAACAACAACAACAACAACAACAACAACAACAACAACAACAACAACAACAACAACAACAACAACAACAACAACAACAACAACAACAACAACAACAACAACAACAACAACAACAACAACAACAGCACCATCCGCACCCGGGTTCCAAAAGGCTGCTTTTGGGACAGTACTTGGGATGTGGGACATGGAACAAAAAGCAGTTGGTGGGTGCTGGATCCATCCATTTGGCAGGTAAACGCGCAGACATAGCCGCCAGTGATGATCTACTTCCTGGGATTCAAGCATCCCTACTCTGAGAAGAAGTAGCCAGTCTTCTTGTTTGCCACCAAAAAACGTCCAAACCCAACACGTGACTAAAGTCCAAGAACTCCTGGAGATGGACTTCTTACCAATCATATTTCCACTTGCGCATTTCGACAGGCGCATCAAGTACAGACTTCCTCACTCCCTGAGTTCCTGGACTTTGGTCACTTTTTGGGTTTGGACCATTTGAGTGCCCAGAGGCTCTTGGGGCTTTAAATGGAAGACCCGATTATTAGTTTTTTAATGAGACACCCCGGAGGTGGTTGGGGTCTCAAAACCAGGTTGTTTGAAGGCCCTAAATCAATCGGGAAGTTCTGGGTGGCAACCAAAAAGTTTGGTTACGTTTGCTGGCCAATCCACGCGATCGCTTCACAGCTGTTTGAGAGGGACCCTGCAAAACCTCATGAACAGAAACAACGAACACCAGGGCACTGACTTGCCAATGTCCTGTACACTGCCTGCCGCGCAGGGTTGCGGTACCGATGTCTATCTGAAGCCATGCAATTACCGTGCAATTGGCAGAGCTGCGCTGAAGAAACATGACTCCAGCAAGAAGCCGTGGGTATCGATTGGATGGTGTAGAGTTAGGATAGATTGGTTTAACCTCTGAACAGTGCAGCATGCCGCGCGGGGTAAGAAAAATGGAATTTTGTTTTTCTGGATATTTCCGGGGGGACTTCCACAAGTCCCACGAGGCCCGTGGGCAGCGCATTTGGAAAAATTGCGCCCAAAGGCGGTCGGCCTTCGGAAGGTCAGGTCCGCGGCTTCAAGTCCAATGGGGTTTTGCCATGCTGTGCCGTTCCGTGTTTCAACGGGTGGCTGGCTGGCTGGGAAGCCCTCCAGCCATCAGAAGAAGGCTTTTTGGTGGGTTTTTTGGTGGGTGTTCTTCTCGGCTTTTTGGTGGGGTTCGTGGCTGGGAACCTTCCGTTTCAGCCGCGAAGAGTGTTCGATTTTTGGCGGGGGATCAGAATCCGGACAGCCTACAAAGCCATGACCTCTTTGCAGACGCCATCTTTGGACCGTTCCAGTGAGAACCCCGACTTTTCAGGTTGGTTGGTTGATTTGCATCTCAATGGACAGCTTGTGGGCACAAGCAAGAGCGGCAGCAACACCGCCACCAAAGGGCAGGTGCAGGTGAACCCACGACACAAGGCCAGCAGCATGCGACCGCAGTCAACATGCATCACTTCCCAGTGCCCACCACCAGCCGCAGCCTCTCCAAAAATCATCCGTCTGATTGCACATGTACCGCGCCTGTCGGGGGCCCTTGCTTCGGGTGCGAAGGTTCGGCATGGATTTGTTTAGGCGTTGATGCCCACAAACGCTGGGGTTTTCCATGGATACCACAAACATCGAGAGACCGCAAGTAAAACCCAGGCTTTTCGGGGATCCCACAACTATCAAGTGTGCAAAACATCCGGAGGTAACCACAGAGCAGTGGGTGGCGATGCTGGGAGTGACACCGAAATCATCTTTTTGGGGGCAACCCAATTGCTGAAAAAGTAACCTCCTCATTGCAAAATGCTGAGGTACTACGCCGGCAGCTGTGCGGTGGCAGGCTTGAGGGGCTGGTTGGAGGGGTCCAGGAAATGGATTGGGTCAAGAATAGGTACCGGAAATGGCTTGCCCTGGTAAATGGAAAACCCGTGGTCCAATTCCTGGTGGTTTGCTTGGACTTGAGTTACATTCGGGGTTGTCTCAAACGGGCTGGCTTCGGTTTCCTGTCGGCTTCCTTTTGAAATCAGTTGAAATGGTGCCCCAGAAGAACAGGTCACACACCCCATGCTGGGCTTGGGCAGTTTTAGTGGGTACCTTTTTGTTTCGGGGACTGGAGAGGTTTAGAGGACAGGTGTTTGGGTCGGCTTTCCCATGAAGGCCTCGATCGATTTTTTGGGGCCGATCCCTAGTTTTGAGCCGCAGCCACCTGAAAAGAGGGCAATCGATTCATCCAAAGGCTGGCTCATGCAAGAAGGTCCCGGCTTGCGCCGAAAGCCGAGGTTCTTGTTTTCGGCCAGGAAGTCAGGGAAGTAGCAATTTTTGGCAAGACCTCCTTGGTATACAGTTTGGCCTAGAGGTCCATTCACTCAAGTGAGACGAGACTGGGTCAACATAGCAATGCGCAAAAATAGTTTCCGGCCAAAAGCGACTTGATCTTGGGACACCGTTGGTTTTGAGCCAGGGTTCCGAGCTCCGGTCTGCAGATCCTCACTTGACTTCCCAGAACGAATCGACCTTGGACCTTTGTGGTATTCCGCGTTTGGGCTCCCGGATCCTCAAACTACCCATTGAAAAGGGATCGAAATCACCTACCAGACTTTTCTATGTTGCAATAGCTCCCCACGTTTCGTCGGTGAGTTCTTCCGTATCCAGGTTCAACTTGATTGGCAATCAGTTGCGATGGTCCTTTGGGATAAGGATCTGGCCATGGGCCAAAACCGGTTTGGGATCCCATGTTGGGTGGGTTTTCGGTGAATTCACCGCCCATTTTAGGCTTCTGTTTTAAAAGTGGTTGGATTGAATCGGTCCCGTTCACTGGGGGTGCGATTTGGGTTTTGACCCACAGCGATCTCAGTGCACTTGAGCACCATGGCTAATGCCAAGTCACATGGCAATGACCCGGTTCGGGGGTGGTGATTCGGCATGGCGCGAGGATTCAACATGAATTTGTGCTTCTCTGAAAGGATGACCTCCCCCAACAAGGCATCAGAAGGTGAAGTTCGTGTTGGTTTTCTTTTAATATTGACACAAAAGGGGCAGCCTCAACCATCATCTCCAGGAGATTGCCCTGGAAGTTCTCCTCCAATACCCACAACCCGCCAAGGGGTTTGGGCTCGATGTCCCGCAACGTGAACAAGTGGAAGACTTCGACCCCTGGAATCTCCGTTTTTGGCGGCCGGGTGTGTCAGGGGTCCCTCAGACTTCTCTGTAAACATCGCCTTGGGGACGCGTAAGGGTCTCTACGGATTCTCATTTCCCGATTCAGCGGCGACTCGCAGCCATGGGAGGGTTGAGAAGGTTTGATTTGCAAATTATGGTCCCACACTTTTTGGAGGGGTCTGTACCAGAGCCGCGGCGAACACTCGTTACATACAAGCATATGCATCACCCCCCCCCTCCCCCCCCCCTCACCCGCCCCCTCACCCCCCCCCTATCCCTCCACTATCCCCCCCCCCTATCCCCCCCGCTATCCCCCCCCCCCTATCCCCCCCCGTTTTTTGGCCTGGTGGGGACGTCACGCACACGCCTCTCGCGTCGTCGAAGGCACCTGCGACGCCCCGCTCTACTACATCGACGTGGGGTCCCTGACGGACAACGGAGACATGCCCTCGCCCACCCTGGCGACCACGGTGTCGGACGGCTATGGCCACGCGGCTCGGCGAAGATCGGATCTGCTCCGATGGCATAGGCGTCCTCTTGATCGGTTGGTTTGGCCGGGCAAGAAAAATCCGATCCAGGCGGAATTTTGCAAATGTTCCGTTTGGTGTTACAATTGGACAAATTGAGGGGTAGCAGGTAGAAATAGATGGGTTCCACTGGTTTAGACGGGTTTCATGCCATCCATTTACCACGGGTCGATTTTTCCAGTTTAGGTCACCTATGTCTTTGGGTTCGAGCTCAGAGGTGTCCACATGAATCAGCTGAATTCGTCCCCTGAGTGCCAAATTGGCGGTAAACTTGGCTTTTTGCCGATCCACTCAGGAAGTGAGTGGTTCTTCTCAGGCAAGATGTGTTTGTCCCAAATGTTGCGGGGGGCTCCAAAAAAGGGGTGGTTTGGATTTTACTTTGTTTTTGTGGATTCACGAAGCCGCAGTAGGGAGAGTCCTATTTTCCGATTCCCTTTGCCGTGTTTTTGGGTTAGGAAGTATGGGGCCTTCCTTCTCACTGCGTTCACGTTTGCTTGTTTTGTTGATTCTTTGTTTTTGTTTTTTTGGGGGGGGAAGGAAAGGGTGATTGTCTCGTGCCTAGCCCTGGCACAGGGCGAACCCTGGCAGGTGGTTGGTTGGTTGCTTGCTTGCCTGCCTGCCTGCTTGCTTGCTTGCTTGCCTGCCTTGCTTGCTTACTTGCTTGGTCGGATGGATGGATGGATGGATGGATGGATGGATGGATGGATGGATGGATGGATGGATGGATGGATGGATGGATGGATGGATGGATGGATTAGGGCAGGTTTGGGGTAGTCCGTTTAGGGTAGGTTAAGGCCCAGAAATCGCTTTACTCCCTGGTGTTAGTGGGGATTTATCACTTTCAGAGGGGAACATTCTCATTGGATCAAAGCGAACTGGGTCAGCTTTTTTTCTTTTTCCGGGCACCATTTTTTGGGGTCGCTTTAAAGGAATGAGCCCCAGAGCCGATTTGGGCAGAGACCAATAGCTTTGAGCTGTTGGGGAAAAACCAAGGAGAAACCGCGTCACGTCCGTGGAAAACCTCTGCAGATTGCATTGGGGGTATCTTGTTAGGGAACCCCTTTTTGGTTGGTTTTAAGTGGAAACCCAAAGGACAGCCGCATTTTTGTTATTTATTTATTTATTTATTTATTTATTTATTTATTTTTGGGGGGGTTCCCCTGTTTTGCGACACATCCACCCGGTTTCGGGGTGTTCGGTCAAGTTAGCAAGTTGTTGGAAACATGGGTTGTACCCAATTATAGGTCTCCCCAAGTGGGGAACACCTTTTTACTAGGGGGTTATACCCCAATTGGCTAACCACTCACCAACTTGGCCAAAAAGCCAAGTGGGTAGGCCTACTGGGATATGACGCTGGACGATGACGGCAACGTGTACATGGTTGACTGGTGGAAGATCCGCCACTCGTCGCGAAAAACCCATCCGTCCTGGTTTTGCTGGCATTCTTCTCACTGAGCTCCTTTTATACATTTTGGGAAGACCGTTTTACTTAGTGGCTCCCAGCCATTAGCTTTTTAGCCTTTTGGTGTTAAGTGGTTGGATTTTTATTTAGCCCACTAAAAGTGAGTCACTTTTAGCGGGGGATCCGAAAATGGACAGCCCAGTGTAGTGGGAAGCAACAAGTTTGGTTACATGTTTTTTCAAATCCACTCAGGAAGTGAGCTTTCTTCTTGCTTTCGAGGGCGGTCTGGTTTCTGATGCCAGCCCTTGTGAGTCGTGTTCAAGGGAAAGCCGCTAAAGAAAGCTGCTCCATTTTTGGCGGAGGGTGGAACTTAGGGTCCTGGGTCCTTTTGTCCGAGTTGCTTTTTAGTGTCCATTTATTTGGGTTCCCTTTGAATCTGTAACAAGCGATCAAACAATGACACCCGCAAGTCGCAAGCGATCCATTTCGCTCCTGAAGGTCAAGTTCTTGTGAGTACTACATCTCCCACGCAGACGTTTTGGCCTCGTCTCTTTTGTGCTGTTTTGTTGACCTGAGGTGTGGGGCTTGAGGTCTATGAGTCAGACGTGGGGGGTTAAAGCCAAGGTTATGACTGGGGTAGCTGCGGTTAGTCCGGTTGTAATCTATTTACTAAGTAGCTTGCACACCCAAGAAACCCGCAAATACCATCGGCCCAGTTTTGCTGGTCCTTTTGTCCAATTCCACCGTCATTGCCCGCATGTTCCGCAGCCTAAACGTGTTCGCCTGAGGCAAGTATGACCCCGCGACGGCGAGCCTCTCAACTTTGCACACGGAAGACTACTTGAACACCGGCTGGCAGTTCTATGGGGTTGCCCACTGGACAGGCCAGTGACTCCATCCGGTCCTGTCACGAATTCAATTTGCAGGGTTGTATGAGTTTGCCGTGTCACTTTCGCGCCTTTCCTCATGTGAAACAGGACCAGTAGGATTGGAACCTACGACCTCCCCGCTTGCAAGTAAGGGCGCGCTGCAATCCAAAAAGGCAGGATGTTGTTGGCAACTTGTTTGCGAGACAGCGCAAGACGCAAATGTTTGTCCAGAGCTCAAGAAAATGGGGCCTGAATGGTGGACATCCATTTGGTGGGGATTTTTGTTCAAGCATTTGCGAGAGTCCTTTTCAGGTTGGGCCCTGTACTTTTCCGAAAGAACACCAAACGAAGTCATGTATCTCTGAACGTGTGTTGTATGTAGTGAAGCCTGCATTGCCGCTCCAATACAATAAATTCCGCATCGACATTCGCAAGCAACGAATCCTTTGGTTCAGATGAGTCGCTGGAATGCACACGCTGAAGAGGCTGCAGGTGCCCCTGTTGCATGAGGGTCTGCGTTTTTTAGGCCTCCAAATCGTAGTTGTCTGTTTGGTTTCTCTTTGGAACCACAATCACAAGGGGTACCCAGTCTCAAAAAGACGAGCCCAGCTAGATTCCGCTGGTTTGCCCGTGCATGAATGTTTGCCTCTTGCACTTTGAGGGGCATAGCTGCGATAAGCTGGATAGCCCCATGGGCGCCGGAAATTCGTTAGAGCAAACTCCCTACTCGGTGCTTTGCACATTTTGTGGCCCTTTGCCACGGTTTCTTCCATTGCCTGTACTGGGACCTGCAAAAGTGGCAGGTTCAATGGAAACGACCAGTAAATTGCAACCCCTATAAAGGTGAAATCCAGTGACCCCTGTTTGCTCAGTCCAATTCGTTCCTTCTTGACTCGGTACTCGGTTCAAAGATCAGCTTGACCAATTGGTGAGCTTACCATGAGATGATGATTGAGACTTGGGAAAAAGTCTGGGGAGGCCTGTTCTCACTTCCTGATTTCCTGGAGTTTAAAGACTTTTTGGGATTGGACCGTTCTAGTGGTAAACAAACAATTCGGTCACTTTTTTTGGCCCATCCACTCGATCGGAAGCGAGTGTTGCTTTGCCCAGAGTTGGAGGGTTCGAAGAAAAGAGACAACAAGAAGAACAAAAGAAGAACATGACAGACAAAAATAGCACCCCCCCCCCCACAAACACTGAAATCATGGGTGAATCCCCCCTTGGGCTTCGGGAATAGGCACCACCAAGCTCATCGTCACCAAGACCAACACGGTGACTTCAAAGCTTTGGCTCTTCGATCTCAGCGACTCCTCCTGGACGGAGTTCTACAGCGCCGTGCACTACGAGTTCAAGAATTTAGGCGCTGTGCATCAAGAAAACGCTAACCTCTCACCCACCCTCAATATCAGAGTTGTCTCTTCTAGGTTTTTCCAGGATCGTGCCCTTTTGCCAACTTTTTTGGGGGAGGGTTCCCTTCTAACCTCTCTACTGGAGGACCTAGTCTTTGACCCGTTAGTTTGGTTGCAATGGTCTATTTCATTTGCTAGGGCCACCGATTTGTCCAAAAAGTCGCCTACGAAGGCGATCCCTCTGTAAGGTTCAACACCTAACCCCAATGGAGGTCCGGTTGCTTAGGGATGAATGGGCTGAAAAGGGGGGGGGTCAAAAGCACTTAAGGTTTAGACAAATGGTTCCTAGGCCTTTGTAGCTTCCCAGTTTGGTGACATGTTCATACTAGCGAAGATAGCGCTGCACATCTTGTGCTCGCCGAAATGTGTGCAATTCGAAACCTCGGAAAATGGTTTCGCACAACGCTTATAAAACATCGGCAAACAACCAGCTGAGCGAATTTGCAAGGTTGTGGTTACCAGATTTGTTGACCATCACCGCCTTTTCATTTTGGATCAATTGTCTGTTTATCACAGCAAAAGTCAATGAAAGATGACAACAAGATCGAGAGAGCATTCAACTCCCTGGACCCTCAAACTACCCTTAAAAACAGGACATCTCCGCATGTTTGTGGGTACTGGGGAGACGTCCTTTTTGTTAAAGGGTAGTTTCAGGGTCCAGGTACTTTCCTCTGGGAAGTACAACAAGACTGTGTGTGTATGTGTGTGAGTGTCGGCGTGTCTGTTTGCTCCTGTTCGTGAACAGACATGTTGTTTGTTTCGCCCTTAGGCAGCGCATTACCATGACAACTGGCTTGTCAGCGCGTGGATAGTTTCACATGCATGGTTTCTTCTACGTGAAATCCACACATTGTACTTGAGCAACTGTCAAAACATCGATGGAATACTCACTGAATTCTCGTCCCAGCTGAGGCCTGAGTATTGAAGCATGGCTATTGTGCGGGATCCATTTTAAGTTTGTTTGTTTTTGTTTGGGGGGGGGGGAAAGGATTTTGGGTTCCGTTGCGAAGAGTTCGGGTTCTCTTCTTTGACCGGACGGTAAGTTTTCCCTGGAAGACCGCTTTGCGATGAAGCCCTTGCCCACCCACTACTTGGTTTGGATCCGAACCCTTGGTCCTCGTGCTTGGTAAATGGGGTTGCCCTCCTTAACCAAAGAAACCACCGATTCGCTGACCAGCCTTTCAAAGGAAGCTGACTGGAGGCGACCGGGCTGCAGAAACGAACTGCGATGTGTAACAACTAGGGGGACCCAACAAATTGTGGTTCTCATTTTGGCTTCCCTTGAACCAAGGGTGCAACGGCTCTCAGAAACCTACAGGAAGGAACGTCTCCAGACATTCCAAGTGGTGATAGTTGGGTGTTTGGCAAACGACCGGTAGAAATTCCTATGGTTTCTATGAATTGGCACTTTTGTAGGAATTCCTATGACTGAGTGGTGTGTATGCACCAAGCCTTTGGTGCACTTTGCTTGGATGCTTTGACTTTAAGCTTTTTGCCAACTGATGGGTTTTCCGTATTAAACCACTCAAAGTTAGTCACTTCTTCTGGGCTTCGCAGATTTCGCCACGGAGAGGTGTGCGTCGTGTTTGCCAGGTCAGACCATGTACAACCTGGCGGTGGATGCCAGCCACAACGTGCTCTACGTGGCGACCAGCGGCGGGAACTCGGCGGGGCGGTCCATCATTGAACTGCCGCTCAGCATCAGCGGACAGAGCATGCCCTACAAGGCCGGCGGGTCGGCGTTGGTCAGCGGCGTAGCCTAGCTTAGCGGCGTGGTCGACGGGCCCAGGTTGATCCGGAGCTCCAAGGTAGATTTGCAGAAGGAAAACCGGGGGTTGTTGTTGGGGAGAATGTTGACCCCATCATACACCGGTCCTATTAACTACTAATAGGGGGTTGTTTCGATGTTCCCCTCCAAAAGTGCTCTGAACCCCCCACTAAAAGGGGTTATGAGTCAGCCGTTGATTAATCCGGGTTTCCCATTTGGGCTACACTTAGAACTGGGTAGATGAAGGATGGGCCAGTCCCATAAATAAGTAGGCGCGGCCGCCTTATGAATTCTTTACATGGTGTTGGGTAGACCAATTTAATTCCCATGGGTTTTGGTTATGACTCACCTGGGTTTTTGATTATTTGTTTGCTTGGGACTCCTTCTTCGCGACGTGAGCCATCCCGGCGAGCAATGCCCGCCAGGTGCCTTGAGCTGCCAGAACATTTGCAGAGTTCCCTGCACACTTCTTTTCTCACTCGAGTTCCGTTTCGGACTTGACCGTCGCTTTTTGGGTTTGAACCACATTTTGGTGGTAAACAACAATTTAACACCTTTTGGATGCCAACTGAATCTTTGGAGTTTCCGTTGGGGCCAATTCTTAAGGAAAACCCTCCCAAACCACAACTCAACCGAGCCAACCAAATCGACCTTTTGACCTGTTGCTTTTCCCATTTTGGCCACCATTTTTAGTGGCCCACGCTTTTCGCATTTTCCCCAAAAGGTGATCAGGTTTTGTTTCCAGGCCCTTTGGACAACTGAGCAAAAAGCCACCCATCCCGCAATTGTGTTGGACGTTTCCTTTTGGGGTACTGTTTAAGGACATCTACCGCCCCAAACCCAAAACCCAACCAAAACCAAGCCCCAAACCACCGGTCCAGCAACCCAAGCCTCAACCCCCCCAACTACCCCACCCCCCACCCCCCACACCCCACCCCACCCCCCACCCCCCCTCCCAAACCCACCAAACCCACCAAACCAAACCAACCTCCCCCCCCGACTGCGGGCCAGGCGTGCCTCCAGGGCAGCTACTCCCTGCATTGCCCCTTGCACGGCATCGGCGAGCGCCTGGTGGTGGGTCACAAGCCGCCCGACCTCCGATCTCCGATGGAGGGCTTGGCCTCTTTCGGCCGGGTTTGCTGGAGAGGTTTTTCCGGCCAAACCAAAGGAGGGGGAAAAAAGGCGAAGTTTGGAGACCGACCCGCGCTTTTTTTCATGGTATGCCCTATATGTGTCCTGTTTGGGCTTGGGGCAGCGTGGCTGTGTCAGGGACGCGAGCACCCGGAATTGCGCGAAAGTAGATGGCGGATGGCGCCTCCTCCGTCATGTTAGTTTCAACTGTCGCCAACCGGCATGCATCTACTTTCCGCCTGGTAAACGTGTGAAGTTTCTTCCCCCCGACCCAAAGAGAACCGCGTGTTGGTTTTCCCTTCGCTAGAAAAAGGAGGAGGACAGCCTCATGCTTGCCCTTTTTGTTGGGTAAGTTTGAAGTTTGTTTTTGTTCCCGCCACATATCCACGAACAACTGACTCGCAGCGTGCGTACAGTGCACCCTCTCTCCCCTTGCACCAAGTTAGCTTGTTTGATCCCGTGAACCATCTGGATGGGGCCTACATGAGAGCGTACCATCGGCAGCTGCGCCAAAGTCAGGGAAGCCGCCGGCTTCTAATCACAGGGTTGCAGCTTGCGAAGAACCATCATGCATTTTTGGCATTCCAAGGGAAGACATTTGGGGTCGAGTCGAACACCCAAATGAATCCCCTCCCCCCAAGCAACCAATCTGAGGGAGCACAGTCCCCCGCGCAAACAAAACAATGTGCTGGTCTCATGAATTCGGGGACCCCCAAAGATAGATCCAAAAGCACAAAAACACAATTGACAAAACACACGCATGCAAAAATCCTAAACCCAAAACCAAGACACACAAGCCCCAGCTCCAACCAAAAGCAAACAACACCCCCCAACAACAAATCACAGAAACGCAACAACAAACAACCCCAAACACAAGAACCACAAAAATCGTTTCAATCAGCCAAAACTAACAACCACAAAAAAGCCAAGACACAACCCTGACAACCCAAATCCATCCCCAAAACCAACACCCGCCCCCCCCCCCCCCAAGAAAAAAAAAAGAAAGAAAGACAGAAAAGAACAACTCCCCAGCCCCCAAACCAAGAAACAACAAACAGCAGAATAAGGCAACACCAACAAAGCCAAGACCAATAGCACCTAAAACACCCCAACACCAAAAATGCAAGCAACCTCCCCGCTGCCGGCAGAAAAAAGACACACCCAAACACAAAGGCAAACTCACAGACAAACAAATCACACACAACAACATCAAAACAAAACACAACCGAGACACACGCCAGGCGACCAAAGTCAAACACTCCCCAGTCCCCAAAACCCACAACACAAAAACACACACACACACACACACACACACACACACACACACACACACACACACACACACACACACACACGCACACGCGCACGCGCACGCGCACGCGCACGCGCACGCGCACGCGCACGCGCACGCGCACGCACACGCACACGCACACGCACACGCGCACGCGCCACGCGCACGCGCACGCGCACGCGCACGCGCACGCGCACGCACGCGCACGCGCACGCACGCGCACGCGCACGCGCACGCGCACGCGCACGCGCACGCCCGCGCACGCCCACGCCACGGCCCACACGCGCACACGCGACACGCACACGCACACGCACACGCACACGCACACGCACACGCACACGCACACGCACACGCACACGCACACGCACACGCACACGCACACGCACACACGCACACGCACACGCACACACGCACACGCACACGCACACGCACACGCACACGCACACGCGCACGCGCACGCGCACGCACGCACGCACGCGCACGCGCACGCGCACACGCACGCGCACGCGCACGCACGCACGCGCACGCGCACGCGCACGCGCACGCACACGCACACGCACACGCACACGCACACGCACACGCACACGCACGCGCACGCGCACGCGCACGCGCACACGCACACGCACACGCACACGCACACTCACGCGCACGCGCACGCGCACGCGCACGCGCACGCGCACGCGCACGCGCACGCGCACACGCACGCGCACGCGCCCACGCACACGCACGCGCGCCACGCGCACGCACACGCACGCGCACGCGCACGCGCACGCGCACGCGCACGCGCACGCGCACGCACACGCGCACGCACACGCACACGCACACGCACACGCACACGCACACGCACACGCACACGCACACGCACACGCACACGCACACGCACACGCACACGCACACGCACACGCACACGCACACCCCCACCCCCACCCCCACCCCCACCCCCACCCCCACCCAACACAGGTCAAAGACCTCTATAGGACGCTGTTTTATAAGCTACTATAGGTCGTGTTTCTGCCAGTTGCCTTGGCTGTTTCAAGCCGTGTGCGGACTTAGAGCATGATGCAAACATGTACTCATATCACACGCATATATAACTTACAGGCGTGATCATGCTGATCAAGCCTGTGAGTGTTCCTCCAAATATATACACACACAGACTGTCGCATTTGCAGGTTGTGAAGGGCAATTTGAGGGGTATAGTTTGGCATTGTCATGTGTTTGCTTGGTTTGCTGTGTGCTTGCTGGCCGTTTTTTCAAACTGAGATCATGTTGGCTTTTATGCACGCATGGGCCGAGGGCCGTATAATCAAGAGAGACAAGGCAACAGACTATTAAATATATATATATATATCAGCAGAACCCGATCGGCGCAGCCAGCGCTTTTCCATGGCGAGCCATGATCCAAACTGCTCGAGAGGGACGTCCTTCATCCTTGGTGTGGAGACAAGGCAGGGGGTCAAAAAAACAATCTCAAAAAGATCCCCCAAAATCAGAAGTGCCGATCGGTTTCCCTAATCACTCTCCCAAAAAACGAAAGTATCGATATCCCGGGCTCCAACAATTGGATCCCGAAGCTATATCCAGCAACCCCAAAAAGCAAATCACAATTACCATGTGCGCGGATATGCACAATTTTAAACTTGACTTGCGCGGCCATATTGGCTCCTGCAGACCATGGTGTGCCGGTCGCAAACCCAAAGGCAAGTGCGGGAATGCCTTGCCACACGGGTGGCGCGATGTATAATGAATAGGCTCGAACGCACAGGGCAGCTGCATAGGTGCATGCTGCGTGGGCGTGTGTTCCCACTCGGCTCGTTGCGGAGCAGGGCGGTGGCCCAAGTGTTTGACTGGGCCGCCGCTCCCCGCTACCATGGTCGAGTGTTCACGAAAAGCTTTTGCAAAGCCGTCGTGAACACTTTGCACACCGAGCATGGCGTGACAGCTTCGGAGCCGATGCGTGAGGCTCTGAGGCTGCAAAGAGCTTTGCACAGCGCAAAGCGTAGGGCCCGGCTGGCCATGTCGGCGGTGGACAATGCTGAGACACAGGCAGGCCCCAGCAACTTTGATTGCACTCAATCAGCCACCATGCCCAAATGGCCAGGCGATGGAGGTACTGCAGCGTGGCTGCACAATATATATATATATATATGGTTCCGCGCACATGATTTTCCACAGTATCCACATGCATTTGGCTGGTTATAGCCCCTTACAAAGTTTCACCAACAATGCTGAGGGGCTCGGAGGAGGACAAGCTTCTTGGCGAATTTACGGCATGCGATGGGCTGGTGTCCTAGCTGTTTCTGCTCAATGTTTGACCCAGTCATGTCAAGGGCCTGGTGGGAGGACAAGCTTCTTGGATTTATTGGCGTGTCAGCCCCTCGTGTCATCCAAGGTCCTTGGAGGACAGGCTTCTTGGCGGATTTAGGCAGCAAGCATTCTTGTTTGGTGCCATTTCAAAGCCCAAGGATGCCAAGCCTCAAGTACAACACATATAGATCAATTGATGTGGTGTTTGAACTGCGTAAATTGTTGGATGCCAGTTTGAAGCCAAGGCTCCAGAGGATCATGCCGAAGGCCCGGCCAAAGTCCTGGTGCCTTGGATGCATGGGGAGCGTTGTCGTGCAATTTAAAGACACACATGGCTTCTTGTCGCAATTGAAAGAAAGAAAATCTGCAATTTGCAGGACCGAGGGTAAGGGCACAAGGGAAGTGACTTCGTTCGCTCTGCGTGCGGGGTCGGACTTGCGTGTGCTAAGGGATCGCGGGTGCTTGCAGTGTCTTGGCCATGACTATTTCTTCCTTCGTGTGTCATACTGAGTTTTGTTCACTGAGGATAGAGGGCAGTCCACGGCGGGAAGAGTCTCTTGTCTGAGTTATGGAATTGTTTGTTTGCAACGCTCAACATGAAAAGCTAAGGGCTGACTCTGATCATGAACAGCCGCATTCTGAGACCCTTGCATGAAGCCCCCCTTTGACCCGCGCGTTGCGCTAAGGAATGATCTGGATGGTGAACACTGGGAAGAAGAGCCGCTTGAAAGCAAACAAACCGTTCATTTGTGCATGTGACGACCGACACATTAAATTTAGGAGTAGCGACACGGAGGAGCCCTGGAGCCTTGGCAAAATATCCCTGCGCTGCATGCTGTTGCGTATTTCTGTCATTGCTGTAAGGGGCAGCGCTGCAAAGAAGGGTGAGACACTTTGCTGCACCCATCAACTTGCAATCCGTCCAGACTGATCGCAAAGGGAACTTAAATTTCAGTTGTCTTTCAAACTCTTTCGCGCTGGCTATGACAAGGGATCCACTGCGAAACAAAACTCAAGCTTGCCCTGATACATTTACTATAAGGATGGATCCTGAAGAGGAATCCTGGCCAGAAGAGACGCTTGGCCTCTTACATTTTCATTTGTCTCCCAAACTTGCTCATGTCCCGTGATCCTAAGGGCTGGCAATGACAAGCAATCCCCTTGGCTTGGTTCCGGTTTTGCTTGCAAATGGAACTTGTCTATGTAAGGATGCTTCGCCAAGAGGCATCAAAGGCATCCTGCTCTGAAGAGTGCCTTGGCTTCTTACACTTCAGCTGTCTCTCAAACTTGTTTTGCTCATAGCATGTGGGCCACCAAGAAACCTTTCCTTTCCTTGATTTTTGCACGCTTCCAAGG